AAAATCTTAGTATCCCAGCAAACATTTGGACGTTTAATGACCGTTGAAAAGACGTCCCTCCGACACGTCCCGTCATGGTTGAAAAATATATCCAAAATGAAAATTGAAGCGACGTCTTTGACGTCTTCTGTCCGTGAATTACACGTCTTTTCTGCACGTCCCTGGACGTCTAAATGTGTCATTTTCTGGATGTGTATAAGATGTGTTGCTGCATAATTTCAGCATAAACCTGCATATAAAATAATCACACACCCATTGTGCAACATCGGGAAAGGCACATCTGAACGTCTATAAAACGTTTTAATCACGTGTAGCACAAACAATAACACATTTGTGGACCAAAGCAAAAAGAAGAGTGTTCTAATTTAGCACATATTTTATGGTGAATACTACATTTTTTTAAAATGTATTCCATTTGTTAAACAGCTACTATTCAAACAAGAAAATAAAAATAGTAGAATGTGGTTAAGTCTGAGTCTAGGGCAATGGTATTTTCTCTAACATTTTTACATTAATGTTAAGCAGCCATTAATCAAACAAGAAAATAACAGAAGTACGGGAGCACAGTGAATACAGGTGGTCTTTTAGAGAACGTCCCCTGAATAGATAAAGGGTAACAATAAAAATTATATAAATAATAGACAAGGAACAAGAGATGTTTTGAATGTCATAAGGCCAGCATTACCTTGAATCACACAGTATAAAGGGGTAGCTTTGAATGGCTTCTTTTCAAGTTGGCCACCACTCCTCATATTGAATTTCACCATCAAGGCATTTGACATATTTACATTTACATTTAGCAGATGCTTTTATCCAAAGCGACTTACAAATGAGGAGAATGAAAGAGCAATGATATTCGAGTGCTATAACAAGTCTCAGTTAGCTCAATGCAGTACACATAGGAATTGTTTTTAATTATATAATAAATAAAAAGAAAACAGATAGAATAGTAAAATAATAGAGCAAGCTAGTGTTAGATGCCTTTTTATTTTTGCTTTTGTTAATTGTATAATAAATAAAAAGAAAAAAAGAATACAAAAAGATTAGAAAAACTAGTGTTACTTTTTTTTTTAAAGAAAACAAGCAGTAAATGAATAGAGTGCACGTCTAAAAGGGACAAGTTTTTTTTAAAGAACAGAATTAGAATATTATAGAATTTTCAAATTAATTCACTGAAAACAGCACTCAAATCCAATCTATTTATGCCGCTGGGATAACGGTCTGTTTCCCAAAAGCATCGTAACTTCAGTAGCGCTTGAAAATCATTGCAGATCTACTAGTGCTCAGGAGCAATGGTAAAGCCAGTGTTATGCCAAATAATTATCAGGGGAAGTTGCTAAAGGAAGGTCGATCTGTTGCTAAAAGTTGCTAAATGATGCTGTGATGTCATTGCGCGATGACGTCGTTACGTAATCACGATGCAAAATTGTGTAAATATATACAAAAAACTACACATTCTGAGCAGTTCTAGTTTTAAGCAGTGTGATAGTAGTTAGTGTGCTACACTCTCAGAAAAGTCTGTAAAAATAGGGCACAATCTACAATGTTAATTCACAGGGGTTTTTAACCTGCATTTTAAATTACGCATTTTTCTAGATATTTTCCTTACAGTGTACTAACTGATCAACAATCGCAGGTACAAGCTACTAACGAGGTGTATCATAAATGAACAATTATTAAACTATTATTATTATTATCAAATTGAATAATTGCAAATAGCAATAACTTCATTCACGTGATGTGTGTACTGCTAGGCGACTTTGGTTTCCTCTTTTTGTGAAATATAGATGGAAAATGTGTGCCTTTTTTATTGTTTGAGTCACTTATCAAAAGTTGCTAAAAGTAGCCAAATAAAATGTAAAAATAGCTAAATTGGTTGCTAGGTGCTTCTGGAAGAAAAAGTTATTAGAGTTATGCAGAGTTATGAGGCAGATTGCACCTTTAACTTTATTCATTTATGATTGTACTTCTCTTTATTACTCTTTTATTGTTTAAATGAATTTAAAAATGAAATAATTAAAAATAAAATACTTTTTTTTGTCTGTACCTGTAGAAATGTATTGGCTAGATGAAGTACAACTATTTGTGCTACTATCACCCTTAATATATACCCTTTATATATTAATACTATCTAAACTTACATGTTTATGTTTGAAAATGACCATCAACCAGGGGCGATTCTAAGATTTTCATTTTAGGGGGGCTCAGCCCCCAATGAGGGTATAATAATAAAAAAAAATAATAATAATAAACATATAAATAAAATAAAAAATGATTGTCTAATAGGGTAAGGTGGTAAGCTAAACTTATTGCATTTTGCAACTTATTGTATTCCACTGTACTGCATAGATAGGTATAACATTTGAGTACTGAAAAAGCCATACAAGTCTTCCTGAATCCTGATCTCGCACACACACACCTGTTTACTGTACAAACACAAAATTTTACTGTTCTAGTACAACCCTCTTTCTTTAGCTCAAGTATGCAAACCTATTTGCCACATGCACTGTAATTAATATGTTTTATATTAAAAGTAACATTTTCAAATAAAAATGCCAACATGATCGTTTTATATAGTATGTGTTTATATGTGTTAAGGGCTACATTTTTCGCTGAAGGAAACAGCTGTAGTGTGATGAGGGGTGAACGCAGCGAAAACCTTACAGGAGATGGAAAACTGATTGCTCCCCCATGATATTTCGTAAATTGTATTTATGACAAAGAACTGCACAGATGCAGATATTATAACGATCTATCAACACACACCTTGTCCTCGGTCTGCGGATTGAAGAATGCGCTGAGAGACAGGGAGGAGCTGATCGAAGTCTGCCACCGTTTTCATATGAAATTTAAAGGGGACTGAGGCGATCACGTATTCGTGTACAGTTTATGGAGCTAATTCGCAAAATTTTTAGGTGGGCTGAGTAATCATTTTAGGGGGGCTATAGCCCACCTAAAACTGGCCTAGCGACGCCCATGCCATCAAGCATTAGTCATTGACTTCAGAAACACTTGGAAGAGCTCATTAGACTGACTCAGGCTCAGCTTGAGGCATACTCCTCCGTGGAGGTTAATGCAATCATTGGTCCAACCATCTGGTTTTTAATTGCCATTTTCTGCAGTGCCCTTCCTTTTTGCCAGGCTTGCAAAGTCCTGCCACTTCTTGTGGACCTCCTTCCCTGATCTCTGTTCATTCTGTAGCAAAGTCCTCCCATATGTTTTGTTTTTCTTTATTTGTATGGTGTCCTTTAAATCTGCTGAAAACATCTGACATCTCCACCTCCTCCAGAAGAACATTAATTTCATCTTGTTGAAAGGTATTTTATTTCTAGTCCACGTCAGGTGATGACTATTAGGTTCAAGGATACAATTCTATACGGTAATATTTCAGTAGCATGTAGAACGGGTTTTCGCTTGTTCATGTTTAGTGCATTTTTGGGAAACGCACGTGGAGTTGGGGCGAGCGTTCGTAACCTTGCGCGTAGAGAGCGCTCTTAAGAGCTAAGATCCATCGCTATCTGGAAACGCAGCCCTGATCAGTTTCATCTATAAATAGACTGCTGTTGTTTTGAGATTCCCAGTTCAACCTACTGCAGTTAAACAGAAAACTGAACAACAAACTACAAGCAGAACAGTGACAGAGCTTCACACAGTCTGGATAAATGAACAGAGATTGTGTTACTGTTTGAGAAGCACTAACATCTCTTACAGGACGATGAAGAGACAGAGAAGATCATCAGCTGAAGACAGATGAAAGAGACGGAGGAGAAAACAGAATATCAACATGTCAACCAACCATACCACAGGTGACAATCACTGAAAGCTTGTTAGAATACATGTGGAAGCATGTTGTTTCGGTTTCTTCTTCACTTGTGTTTTTTGGAAATTCTGTACAGAAGATGTGTACTAGCGCCCCCTACAGTATAACAATGAAAACACGGATTCTAGGAGCACAAGTATAGCTAAAATATATTTAGACTTTTTCTAAGTATAAGTCAAGTATACTTAAATGTCATTTTAAGTATATTTCTGAGAAGTACATAAAGCCCATTTCTGAGAAGTACATAAAAAGTAGACTAAAAGTATACTTTCCTATTTTTAGTTTAAAAGAAGTATACTAATAGCACACTTGAATAAACTTTTTTTTTCGTAAGGGATGTTCAAACTAATTAAAGTGAAAGAGCACTGATTAACTGATTAACATGCAGGCTGACCTATAGGCTGTAGTCTCGGGGTCCATGTGATCGGGGGCCTCTGTTCACTGGGGTTTGCAAATATTTCCTGTTTCATCTATTTCTACAGTACTAGTAATTACTAGCGTTACTGGACGGAGGTTGTTAAATATCAGGCAACTTGCAAACACACAGCGCACATGACATCAGTTTCAGTTGAAAACTCACACCTGTCGATGGCTTTGGCAATGTAAAGCTTCTGAGCATGCTAATAAAGCTACTTGAGTCTGAATTTGTCAATCGCTGATCGAGTTTTCAAACAGAAGGAGAGAAAACAGTCCAGATCTCTGTTCATGTACATGTAAACACTCAATTATAGTAGGCTATAATTTAAAATATATCGCCCTGGTCGCAAGTTAGTATTCTGATTACTTGATTGATCAAGTTATGATATGTAGCTAGTATGAGTAACAAAATGCTATATATACCTCAGCCCTGACCGAGCCTGCCAGGATCCAAAATGTGAGTCAATAAATATCATGGTAAAATGACTCTTGCAATATTGACAGTACAAAAGCTTTGTGTGAGGAACAAACCCAAATTTATGCCATTATTAACTAACACCAAAATTTAAAAGCATAACATTTTGGAGATTTTTTTTTTTAGATGTTTTTTTTAAGATGAGAAATTGATATTTGACATTTTTTCAGCTCAAGTTCTTCGTGTTGATTCATGCAAAAGGGAGGAGCATTTTCGTGACAGAACCAGAAATAGAAGAAAATCTGATCAAACCTGAACTGCAGCTCGACTCCTGGTGAGTTTATCATTCCTGCAACAGCGTGTTTAATGCAAACGTGTTAGATTATTATTCTTATAAACCAGGATTTGTTTGTGATCTGAGATGCAGTGAAGATGGCAACAGGGACTAAAGCTCTTCCTGGTAAGAGAGCGTTTGTTTACTCTGCTTAAGAAAGAAACTTCCAGTACATTCATTTAGTATTAATGTCAGTGTATAGTTCAGATTGAAATGATGTTCCTCATGAATCAGCTGTTTCCACTGAATATCATTATAAATGACTCAGAAGCATGGAGATGAGTTTAGTAGATTATATTTTTACTCACTGATGCAGTTGAAATTTGTGTTCATTTGCTGCTGTTACGAGTTCAGTTTTTGTACTGTTTGTAGTGTTTAATGTTTTTTTTTCTTCTTTTAAACATTTTGCCTTGTGTTCTTACATTCATATTTTCTGTCGCTTTCAGATATTTTCATTTTTGACTCCAGTGATGATGCAGTGATCCGGATTCTTCTGCTGGGCAGAAACACTTCTGGGAAAAGCTCATCTGGGAACACTATACTGGGAGAAGAGAGGTTTAAAAGGCACGAGTCTGAGGTGTGTGAGGGTCAAGCTCAGATCTGTGGGCAGCAGGTTGCTGTGATTGATTGTCCAGATCTACTGGATCCAGATCTGAATGAAGAGCAGCTGGAGAAGATGAAAGAGCAGCTGGTCGCTGGATGTTCAGCAGGTCTCAGTTCAGTTCTGCTCACCGTGTCTCTGGAGAAACCTGTGGGAAATGAGGAGGAGATCCTGGATTATATGAAGTGTTTGTTTGGTGCTGGAGTTCAGAAATACATCATGATTCTGTTCACACGTGGAGATGATCTGGAGGATCTGGATCAGACCATTGATGAACATCTGAAACACAAAGATCATGAGGATCTGCAGCGACTCGTGACTGAATGTGGAGGAAAGTTTCACTGTTTCAATAAGATGAAGAAAGCGAAGGGTCAAGTTGAAGATCTACTGCAGAAGATTGAGGGAATGATGACGGAGAACGGAGGGAATTTCTTTATGAAACAAATGCAGAGGAGCGACAGCATGGACGTTCTTAATGTCAGCTGTAAGTTGTAATTACTTCTCAAATACATGCAACACTGATCTTAAAAAGGGTTGGGATTGAATTAAACAGCATATTGATGTGATTTGATCTTTCTGTTGTAGTTTCTGGACAGAGTTTACCATATCCAGTCTCCAGATGAAGTTGATGCAGTTCTTGAGAGGAAAGACCAGATCAGGCTGGCTCTGCTGGGAAAAACTGGACTCTGCAACACTACTGGAAACACCATCGTGGATATCAAACAGTGTCCGTGAGAAACTACAGTCTCAGTGATGTGTGTGATTAAGAAACTTAATAATCAGACACACAAGACTCCTAAAGCAGTTCTTTTCTTATCAGCGGTGTATTAAAATCATGCAGAGATATGCATGCAGCGATCACAGTAATACATCAGTCACTGCACGAGCTGCGAGTGTCTCCAAACAACTGTAATAAATGCACCGCATTAATCTGAATCTGCTGTTCATTCACATGATGCTGGACTATGATGTACTCTGTAAATATAATGTGCTTTCTGTATCGCTATCCAGAGTGAGTGGCTTTCCCTTTAGAGGGGAATCGGTCAGATATCAGAATATTGAAAGAATAAAGTTGATTTACTGTGATTCTGAATGCTGTGTCTGTCTGTGTTTGCTGTTGAACTCAACTGTGTCGAAGAATCATCTGTCAGTCAATCTCAGCTGATTCTGGCAAAAGCACAAAGATATGAAGGCATGCATGTTTGATGTTTTTCAGTTGCAGATTGCTTATTGCTTTTATCACACGTCTTCACTCTTGCTCAGAACTTAAAAGAAGAGCGTCTGAAGTTGTTCTACATTTCATCAGAGTATTTGCTTTGAATTTATAGATTTCTTCTCCAGCTTAATTCTCTGTGAAATTCAGTCAGCCGAGGGGCAGAAACCCTGAGCCTGTTGGAGCATGTTTGTTTGCAGACTGGAAGATCTTCTAGTAGCGATGGACCGAAACAGCGCAGAGCATCACATGATTCACATCAACCTGTTAAACAACCTTGTTAGACACAGCCACACTTTTGAAAATAAATATTAACGTAGTTTTCAAAATTGTTAAACTTCAGTTCAAAACCTAGCACAGTGCAAAAATATCCTGAATGTAAAAAATCAAATACTATCAACGCAGTTGCATGTAGCTGAACATCTTCACAAGTGTTAATCTATACAAAAGGGGAATCATTTTGAACTGTGATGTAAACCTGGAGCATGTAACATATACTGCAGTGAATTATAAACAGTAGAGAGTATCATTCTTGTTTTGTAAAGAAATTTTACAAAAGAAAACATCGTATAATGCTGCCTGTTGTTAGTGTTTTTTAGGCTGTTGTGTTATGAGTGATAAAGTGTGTTTGGTGACTAATGCACTATTCTAGTAAATACTAACTAACAAGAAATGCTGATTAGTGAATTAGTTTAAGTAATAGAGCTCAGCTGAAAGTGGTAGTTCACTATTAGCTAATCAGTAACTACTGAAGATCATGGTATTCCACTAGCAATGACTCAAGTATCACCAAATTACTATCCAGAACCTTTCAAAAACCTCAGAAGTTTACAATGACTTCAGTCATTCCTTGGGAGTTATCACGAATGATTACGATTTTTCCTGTTACCAATATAATGTGTACTTTATCATTGTAATGGTTAAACCAAGTGCAAATGTCAAACAAATATGTATACTATATGATGCAAATGTTGTATTCTTTTAAAGTTGTATTGCAGTTTGTTCCTCAAATCCACACTTTTTCTGGAATCAGGATAATCAAAAGTATCCCAGTCCAACTTATAAGGTTTAAATAACACATAAGGGTTTCTCCAGATCAAAACCAAGACTGAATTACACGATCTAATCCAATTTCAGTCATTTAAAGTAAATTATATCAGATTTTAGTCTATTTTGCCAAAATGACAGTTGGATTAAGTGTTAAAAAATCCTCCAAAGTGTTACATTTTTTAAAAATTGTTTAGACACTAAAGGTACTTGAGGAGCACTCAGTGAAACCATTCACTCATTTACCTAATCTTTAGACCAAGTCTGCAAAACTACAAGCACATTACGTGCTTTAAACTCAGTTTGCTATTGTAAAACAAACACAGTTCTCTACATTACACACCTCGTTCAAAGCTAACAGCTCTTTTGTTTCATTTGGGAAACAGTGCCGTTGAAATGCCCTGATCGTTTACTCATGACCTACAGCCAGTGATTATGTGTGAAAATACATTATTTGTTCACTTAGAAATCAAAACTCAGTGTTTGGAGTTTGGAGAAAATAAATTGTTTTTACCACCTTGCATTTCTGTTTACAGTGTATATATGATTATATACTATGTGCGTGTGTGTGTGTGTGTGTGTGTGTGTGTGTGTGTGTGTGTGTGTGTGTGTGTGAGAGTGTGTGTGTATATATGTGTAACAGATCAGGGTATTCTCTCTGTTACGCTCTTGTAATTTTCTCCCTAACCTGTGGGGGTCAGTATACTCAGGTAGAGAGAGAGTAGGACTCCAGGTATATAAGACAAAGAAGAGAGAGTTAGAGAGAGCCACATGGTTAGCATGAGTGTTTGGCTGTGAGTGAGGAATTATTGGTTTGGCACTCACAGACTGGTAATAGTAATGTTGTTTGTATAAAGCGGATCTGATGCTGTCTACTTTGATTGGATTTCCTCTTCTCCATTTTCAAGTTGCATTATTTTTTGACCCTATCTTTTTCCCTTTTTTTGGACTAAATCGTTGGAAATTGTTATTTTTTCCCTGTGGATTATATTTTTTGGGCCATTACCAGAACTGCACTTTTGCTAATACTCCTGGATTTCTGTTTGTGGACATTACATTGCATTTCTGGGACTTGAGTTACATTCAACGCTGGAGTTTCAGGTTATCTTGTACACTTATTGTCTTAACCTCTAATGTTCATTTCTCATCAGGAATGCTTGATAAACTGTGCACTGTCTATTATGCGAGTGTTGACGGCTGACAGACTTTATTGAAGGTTTGAATGTTGTAGCATTGCATATGGATATCGACCTGTGGGTCTAGTGCCTAAATTGCTCATTTTCTAATAACAACTCATCTGAAAGCATTTGGATGTTTACCCTCCGTTTTTGTTTTGTGTAATATTTTGACCATTTTTTTTAGGTTAATTGTTACAGTGGGTGTGTATGGACCACACACACACACACACACACACACACACACACAGAGAATCTGCATACAAGCCAAGTTAGAAAGTCAACTTTATTTCTAAAGTGCTCTATACAATATAGATTGTTTCACAGCAGCTTCACAATAGTATAAAATTCAAATTCTGCTGTAAAGCAGCTCTAACAAGTCAACAGTGTCATTATAGAGCTCAAGTCAGTTCAGTGTTGATTCAGTTCAGTTGCATAACTGTGTAAATTCATCAGTTGTACATGCATACTGTATATAGAGTGTATATGTGAATATGCATGTGTGTGTGAGTGCTGTGTTAAACTCCTCCACTGCACTCTGAACAAGCAGAACACACACGAGAGAGGAGAGTTTTACATTCTTCACATGTGTGTGTATGTGGCTAATTACTTTATGCTTGTGTGTACAGTTTCTACACAGAAAATACAATTTTTAGAAGAGTTAAAATAGTTTTGAAAGAAGTGTTTACTTTTGCATGTTGTGTGTGTGTTTTGTGGTTTTGTGTGTAGAGTTTTGAGAAATGGAGCCATAGTTTCAAAAACAGTAAGCGTTTTTAAAAAACTGTAATACTGTTGAATCTTATAGACGTGATCTGAAACCCTGTTGTGCTTCTGCTGATCTCTGAATTCTGCCTCTAGAAATCAAATCTCTGTTTTTAATAGTGGATTCATCATCAGGGGCCCGTTTCAATAAGGAGGTTCAACAGACTCTGAGTTGATTTACCCTGAGATGGGAAACTCTTTGAGTTTTCGGGTTCAGAACAGCTGAATTGTGTTAGTTCAGTCCACTCTGAGTAGGTTGACTTTAGCGCATGCACCACGACTATGATAAGTGTAAGAATTACAGAACCTCAGACACTTTGATCTTCTGAGACAGACAATACACACACAGTGCATTAACATACAGACATCTGTCTCCACATCTCACTGAGAGAAAATGCGGGAAAACGTCTCTCACATATGCATCAGTTCCGATACTTTGATCTCCTGAGAAACAGACAATACA